TCAAAAGGTATCATACTGGTATCATACTGGTATCACATTTTCAAGTTCTTATCCCATATTTTTAAATGGAACTAAAAAACTTCCTGTGTGATGATTACCAGGATGCATTTGCATTTAGTAAGCCATGGAGGCCCTGCTCCCTGAAGACAAACTGCTGCCAAAGGCAGATTTACCACTGACCAACAGTATTTTCATGCAAATGTGCCTGAGTGAGTACAGTAACCCCAAATTATAAGAGTCATTCAATCTCTTGTCAAGACAGCAATATTTATATATTACAAGGACAAAATGAATACCAAAAACAGTTCCATTATACATAGAAATTTCTCTATGTAAATCAGTATTTCTAATCACACTGTGCTTCGTCCCACCCACTATCCCATTTTGTTTCCTATCTTCAGAGATGAATTCCAACTGTGCTACTCTCTTGTGAATTTGCTTTGAATGTTGAAGTGTTTAGCTGATGCCACAGTAATGGATAACATAAACTCCTTCCTGAGAAACTCGAGGGTCTCCAAGTTTGACTAGGGAAAGCACTATAAAGGGCTCATGTCTATGTGCAGTGTTTCACCTGACACTTGTGCACCTTTCTGCCTGAACTTCATTTCCTCTTGCTGCCAAATGGGAGGAAATGGACAGGCATCTCCCTGGAGACTTTATCCACCCATAGGGAATGAGTACAAGGGGTCAGATGCGCCTCTGCATGTTAGTCCCTAGCTGCTGACATCTGCCTGCCCCGCAAGAGCTGGCTCTGTGTACTGATGGGGCTAATATGAGGAGACACGTGAAGTAGTTGGGTTTATGGAAGAGGGCAGGAGAGGCATGGTGCTGTGAAAACATTCCCACACACTCTTATCGGCTCGTTCACACGGAAAACAAGTGAGAGCCTTCAGCTCTTTTCACAGGGCTCAGAGTAGAACAAGCTGACTCAAAAACCCAAAAGCTTCAGTCAAAAATCACTTTCCTCATACACTGATACCGAGATACTCTTCACCTATGAGACTTCAGCTTGCATTTAAGTTACTAAATGATATTGTTGGGTTGATGAGCAGCTCAGTATCTGATAGCTGCAATTGATTACTCTGAGGAAATATGCTGTTTTTTTTTTTAAATCTGGTCTACAGGCTCCTAAATCTACAACCACCTAAAACTAGTTATAAATGATGAAGTATGCTTTGGAGCATGTAAAAATTTTATTAACACATTCACCACTTGATTTTCTATCTAAAATTGTTTTAGACTAAAATTTGTATATTGCCAAAGAACTGCAACGTATCTGAAAATCATGTTTATTGCTAAAGAGTATGGTAGAGATATATACAGACAACTACCAGAGCAAGTAATTTTACAGGAACATTTGGTGGACTTGAAAGAAAATTATTTCCTGAATTATGTCCCAAATACAGTTAGGAAAGTCCATGTTAAAACTTGTTCTGAGCAACACATGATGGTCAATGAAAAGCAACATTCGTTATTTTGGATAGAAAAATATCTAAGATATATAAAAAAGTAATCATAACAGACCCACTAGGTCAACTCATAAGTTCATGTAGCTCAGTATCTGACCTCTAAGACCAGCCAGTATTGTATCATTGGAAATAAAGTATAAGAGGGCAAGATTATAGTGATGCTTGCACTAAGATATCCCCCCAGGTATGTATCAATTTGTAATTTGGGGAATTTCTAAAGTTCACTATGGCATCAATAGTTTCGTGAATTTGCCTAATTATTTTTTAACTCATCTTAACATTTTAGCATCTGTAATATTCTATGATCTTCGTGCCATGATGGGTTGTATGATTTAACTAAATATCATGTTAAAAGTATCTCCTGCGTTGTAATTTCGGATTATTTTATATCTTTCTATGGATGAGTCAACCCTACAGATACTGTATTGCATTGGGTTACTGGTCATAATGTTTGAATTTTGATCACCATTGAGTATTTAGCTGGTATTTTCATAGAAGTAGCCAGAAAAACTCCAAAGCTAATTTTTGCATGATAATATTCACTTAAAGCCCATTATAATGTATTTACATACACACATGTATATAACATATATACATATATTTTATACACACATGTATATATATGAAGAGAAAGAAAGAAAGAGTGATCAGTGTATTTCTGTTTCTCTTCACTGGATTTGGGTTACATTTATTGGATTCTTGCCTTTTTATTGCCCCATCACTCAGTATTGTGAAATCTCTTTACAACTTTTTTAATTGGCTTTTGTCTTTTCTTTCCTGAAGCTTCAGCAACTCACTATCTACTCCTATTTCAAAGTTATTTAAGGGAATGTGTTGAGTAGTACAGAGCCCAGCACAGATTCCTCTGAGAAATTAGTGATAACCTTCCACCACAGTGAAGAGTGCCTTTCCTTTTTGTATCTTTTAATTTAAAAGAGGAACTGACCTCTTTTAAGAGTGCTTAGTTTCTTCCAGAGTCTCTGGTAAGGACCTTTTATGAACAATGGATTCATTGATGTCTTGACCCTTTATATTGAACTAGAGTGCCCATACCCATGTAACATCTTTTAAAAATTGCACCAGAATATACACTCTTCCACTTTTTCTCACTCTAAGTTCTTATCAAAGTCAATATACTTGAAGCAAATGTTGAAATGTATGTTGGCTATGTAGATCTATGGAGGTCAAATATATTAGCAAGAGCAGGAGCAAAAGCTAATCCTAACTTAAGTCTTCAGAATCAATTGTAGGTTGCATTTGATTTAGTTTTAACTGAATCTGTAGGAAGATTACCTCTAATTTAAGTTTGCTGCTAAAAGTACTAATTTTGTCCTAAAATCACCCTACTTTGGAAATGTGACATTGCAAATGTGAAGTTTTTGACAAGGCTTCACTTCTTTGGTGTATAAGACTATTGTTCAGTTTCATATTCTGATGTTTAATATACCACATTTTTGAAGATATGTGATGTGGATCAAAGGCCAAGATTTGGCCCTTATTTAACTGCTGTCACTGGCACTAATTTCACAGCTATTGAAAAATGATGCATCAAATTTATATCTTTGCAAATGTCAGTATTCTGAATCTTGCATATGTTGCCTGAGCTGTCAGTAATAAAAATCTGTTCTTAATTATTCTCCCACTTTTCAAAATAATTTTCTAATAACCCAGTGAATAGAAATTTGATGTTTTCCTTGGCTAGAAACATTTTAATGATGTGTGCTTTTATAATTCAAAAGCTTTTGCAAATGAGTAGTACTGTCTCTATGGATATCAGAAAAATCTGATGTTTAAATCTGAGTTAAGATTGAATTGATATGAATAACTTAAAGGAAAATATTTTAAAAGAATGCCACCCTTTAAACAAACAATTCAGTAGAAAGTCAAACTGTAAAATAAGGTCTATGTGTGTAATAATCATGCTAGTTATAAAAAAAGCAGAATTAAAATCTATCATAGTATATATCTTAATTTAATGTCCATCTTATTTTTGGGGATATGAAAAAATTTGGCTTATTTTTACTTCATCTGTATTTAAGGAAAATGATTCCACTCTAATGAGAAAAATAAATAGTGAGGAATATTAAGAAAATCTAAGAATGAAAATGATGGCATTGGATAGTATCAGCCTTTCTGCTTGGAAGCAGTATAACCCAGACCATAAATCCTATTTGCTTTTAATATTTTTTTTTTCCTATAACAGTACATCTTTTATTTAAGTACTTTCATTCAAAGCCCAAAGTAGTGAACAGAAAAGGCTGCTTTTGAAACTTTGGTCTTGCCTCAAACATACAATAATTAGCATGAAATTCTACCTTCATTAAAGGTTGAAAGATTTAAAATATACAAACAGTAATGTGTTCTTTTTCTTTTGTTCTTCAATGTGATGATAGAGTAATATTTTAGCTCATCTATGCTTCAACAAATAGCATATCTTTTAGAAACAAGAATATAAACCACACGTAAAATACACTGTGTTTTTGTATTTGCCATGCTCATCTGCTTTTTTGCACCTTAATTTAAACTTGAGCATGTAGAACATTTTCTTACAAAATATCCTCTCGATTCTGATTAAGATTTCATTACCTTTGTTGGTAATGAAATAGACAGCCTCAAAACGGACTGCTGTGTTGCTGTTCAGGTATCTGTTTGTATCTCTGCTTGTATCTAAAATTCTAGACAGAATTAGTCCTTCCTCCTTGAAGTCAAACAAACTAGTATTTATTTTGCGAGGACCACTATGTTTTAAAAATATTTTTTAGAAGCTTACTGCCAAAATGCTATGTAATCGAACAGCAATGTAAAACAAAAATATGTAAGTGGGTGCAAACACCCCAAAGTTCAGAAGATCTAGATGAATAGCTGTTGATAAAAATGTAATTCTACATTTTATATTTATATTCTTTGCATTGAATCTATGCACTTATTGAGGCAAAAATCTTGAGCAAAAAATAAGTAGTCATGTAATTAAAGGCTATCATAGTGCATGCATGCATAAAGGCTACATTCAAATTGTGCCTATTGTTTTTAAAAGAACTGTACAGAAGAGATTTCAGCAGCATCTAGGATATAAACTGTACAGATTTTAAATGTCTCTTGACTGTACAGATTTTAAATATCTCTTGAAACAATAGAGACCGTAAATTTCTAAAATGCAGACTTTTCACTCAATGTGCTTCAGGTAAGCGTATGAAAGAGTCTTTCTGTTTTCTCCTCTACAAGAAAATATTAGTTCTGTATGAATGAAAATTAACCATGAATGATATCATTGTATTGTAGAACTATTTTGGTCAGGATATTTTTGAATAGTGTGAAAACAGACTCACATGAGCCCAGACTTAAAGATGCAATCACTGCTTAGGAATCACAGTTTAATCACTTTTTCCAGTTCTGTTCACCTCATCCTTTTTTTTTTTTTAATCAGCTGGCCTTTTAAAAAAAAAAGAAATTCTTAACAGATAGCATAACCACTGTCAAAATTATGTCTATGCAAAATATTTTTTGTAATGCAACAATTTTCAACTTTTTCAGACCTAAGTGACCAACTCATGGAAGTTGTTGGTCTGGAAGGAGCTATGGAGATGGGTCAGATATACACAGGCCTGAAAAGTGCTGGAAGACGACTTGCCCAGTGCTCATCTGTTGTCATCAGGTACTGGCCATTCTGATATGCTCTATACTGCTACAGTGAAACTGGAATGTTTTATATGTTACCAGTTCAATTTCTCTCATAATTTAATAATTATGATTACTCTGTTGCTTATGGAAGTATTATTGTTATATATTAAATAATAGCATTTACAATCTATTCCAGGGAAATTTGTCAAAGAAATATTTATTCCATTTCTATTCTATGCCCATACATTTTCCTTTCTTTAAATGTGTCAAAAACCTAGAAAGGAGGAGTTTGTATTTACTTCACAGATATTGAAATCTCATTTCATCTTATGAGGAAATATTATCAAGCAGGTAGGGCAGAAAGAGTAGGGCATGAATGTCTTGGGTTTTATTATTGACATAGACTCTGGGCAATTTTGAGTAAAAAAAGTCATTTAGCATTACCTTAACATATTTTAACCAATTTCTTCTTATTATTATTATTCCTCACCAGGGAATAGTAACATTTAATTAGTATTTGTAAAGCATGATTTTGGTCTTTGGAAGCCAAAGTGCTTTGGTTTTAATTTCTTTGTTATTTACTCAACACTTACAAATTGCTACTGATAAAAGTGTTACTATATATGTCGTGAACAATGGATCACATTAATTTACTTGTATTTTATTATTTATTAAGTGACCAGGACATTCACAGTTTGGAAATCTGGACTAGCTCTTAAGCAAAATTAAATAAATAAATAAATAAATAAATTTTGGATAAGTACAGGAAAAGAGAGACATTAAGGGTTTTTCAGGCCTGGTATGCATGGGGAAGGAATTTACTTCATTATTCAGACCTTCTTTTTGTGATTCTGAAATGTTGTGCATAGAAATCTTATTGTTAAAAGCTAAAAATATAATTTAAAATTTTAATAGAATGATAAGCTATAGAATACAAGTCTATGAGATTTAAAATGATTAATAAAGTTATTAATCAAAACATTAATCAAAAATTGAAGAAAATTAATAGAATTTTCTGAAGGGCATGATTTTCTTTTGAGAATCTCTCAAAGAATGGGGTTTCTGCCATGTTGCAGGACTGCCAGTGCACCCTTCTCAAGATATGAAGTGAAGACTCATTGCATATTCTTCACTTCATATATTATTGCCCACAGATGAAAGCTAATAAGTCACAGATTGTGTCCAAATCAGAATATCTTCTGATCATCATAAGCACACAACTAAATCTTCTTTTTCTGTTGTGATTTACTCTATATTATTTCCAATACTCCTGTATAGAAACTATTGGAACACAGAAATACAGGGTTATAATAAACCCCAAAAGATCATCCTTTTGTTTTTGTATCTAATTTGCCTATACTTTTCTTAATGTGGCCTCCAAAAGTATACATAGAACATTGTTTGGAGCTCTGTGTTAAAATCATTGTCCCTCAACTAAAACTTAAAAGCCTCTGAATATAGTAGAATTACCACATTATGTGAGTGCTGTATCTAACCCAGAGTTAAACAAAAGCACAAAAATATCTTTTAAAGTTCCAGTAAACATTGGTGGTAGTGCTAAGGTATATCGCTTACCTTCTTTATAGCAGTCAGAGTTACCACAAATAGCAGAGGTTTCTTTGTCTTTTCAGATAGTAAAGTTTATGCCTGATTTGTTTTGTTGGCTTAATTCACTCTTTATTTCACAAATTACAGGCCTATTCCCCCATGAGAGACTACCATGTTAGTAAAAAGATGTGTGAGTGTTTGCTGTATTTGTTGAAAATGAGGCTAAGGCTTGTTTAYACAGTTTACTAAAACCATTAATTTTATAAGCATGCTTCCTGAAACCAGAGGTTATATAGAAGTTTAGGGTAAATCAGGATTACATGTGTCTATGCCATCATATATGTTTCTCTTTAATATATCAATTTATCAATTTTGCCTTGTTACTTCTACTTAAACAATTAAATATATTTCTTTAGGACCAGCAAGTCTCTGCCTATGCAAATAGATGGGGAACCCTGGATGCAGACCCCTTGCACAGTAAGCATACTCTTATCTCTGAGAGCAGCATTGAAAAAAAAGGAAAATTCAGAATTATTTTTATAGCACTGAAATGATAGTAGTCATTTACTGATTTATTTAATTTCACTTCTTAAGTGACAGAAGTGGAATTTTTCTGATTAAAATATAAACTATTGCCATCGTTATTGACTTATTTAAGTAACATCTACACATAACAAGTATAAACTTGTTATATAGTTCATAGCCACTGCATTTTTAATTAATCATGATGTGTTCCCACAGATTTGGATGGAATAAAAACATAGGCATTATTATGATATCATTTATTTCAAAACTTTGGAAAATGCTTACAGGATGAACTCCTAGCATCCTGTTACCTAGAGTTATCTTTTTTTTTTTTTTTTTTTTTTTTTTATGATGAAGTACCACATTTATGCTCTTATTGATTGCTGAGGAAGACCTGATATTAGTTACAGTGTTAAAGTGTATGTGACTAATAACTCTTATAAAATTTAGGAAGACTTTTCACTTACTTTAGAGAGCTCATAGTAAGAACATTTTATTTAAAGATGAAGTCTTCAATGTGCTGATTGAATCATATAAGATAAATAATAATTAAAACCCTATAGTTTAAAGGAGAAGGGAAGGAAATTAATCTCATATTATGATGTTTCAGTGCCCATATGCATAACATGAGGGCAAGTAAACAGGAAGGAGAAATCCATTCCTCCAAATAGTATCAAGTGCTCAGAGTAAGATCTTTGAATAAATCTTAATAGCCAAAGAAACAAGGTGTAACTTCAAAAATGGAGATTATTGTCCCTCTCCAGTAAGTTAGAGAGCCTAACCAAGAAGTTTAAGACAGCGTTGAAAAAGTTTAAGCTCATTATTATTGAGTGAAGTCATAGTAGCATGTTTAATGTGCTATTTTAGTGATTTTGTTTCCCTACATAAACTTATTCTTCCCTTATTATTTTAAGTATATGAATGATTGTAGCTTACAGCCTATAGGTAAGATGTAACAATATAACAGTGGGAAGGTATTCCGCCAGAAAAGTGGTAATTCGCCATACCAGAATACTGGATCACTTTCTTGAATTTTGCCTCCTAAGTAAAATTGAAGGCTACACCAAAGAGGGAGGGAAGGAAGGAAGGAAGGAAGGAAGGAAGGAAGGAAGGAAGGAAGGAAGGAAGGAAGGAAGGAAGGAAGGAAGGAAGGGAGGGAGGGAGGGAGGGAGGGAGGGAGGGAGGGCTGAATTCTAATTGTCTATGGCAAGCACTTCACATCCTGCAGCGACAACCAGGCAAATGCACCCTATGTGAAAGTAAAACACAACTGAGAAGGAAATAAGCGAACTATTCATTTACGGTACTGCTCCACCATGAATTTAGATAGGGAAGGAAAAAAAAATCTATATTCTGACCTGTCTCCTCCTCACTATAATTCCAACCATGCTAGAATTTTTCCTAAAGGTTCTCTGCAAACTAGGAAATCCTCCTGTGATAATACCAAAGGTGGATGTTAAATTTCTCTCAGGTGAGAAAGTAAGCACACGCTTCCAAGTGGGTGCTTCAGAGAGGGATTTTTTTGACAGCCAAAGTGTATTTGATCACAGGGGTGATCAAAGGGAGATAGGGATGGTCTCTCAGTAATGTGTATCCCAGAGTCTGAAGAAAATGTAAAATCAAAACACATTTTTAAGTGTAGCTAATATGGAGACAGTTATTCGAACCTACAAGAGCTCAAATTTCAGAAAATAATAGGACAAGAACAATATGAGAGTCATGAGCCTTCTCAACAGCCAAAAAGTATCTGCAAGTGAATGAGCAATTAATAGTTTTTAAATGTAGAAAATCTTAATGAGCAGATAAAGAAATCTGTGACTTCTGTTTTGTAAGAAACACATGAGAGTCTGTTTTTCCTTTTTTCCCCCCTTTTCTTAGGAAATATCTTTCCTTATTTCTTACAAGGAACTATAGAGGCCTCTATGTAGAGCTACTGGCACTCATACATCATGTACTGTGATGTGGTGAGGAGATACCCCTGCTATCTCTGGACTCACATTTTTATATGTAGGATGCTGAGGAGGGTGCTTATTAGTATTGGCTAGTGTTAGCCTGTACTAGCAGTATAGTGGTTGAAATAACCCGTGGTTCATTCTGGCATTGTGATCTCAGGAATCCAGTGAACTGAGAAGCCTCCTCCAGGATGGATCTATATACAGCCATCTGTGTGCAGGTGATGATGTGTGCCACTCATATATCTAAATACCACTGAAGGACAAGACTGAGAATCTTTAGGTATCACAAAGTGTATTGGGGTATTGGCTCTTGTGAATGATTCTGTAAGGTGTGAGGGAACCTACAGTTGTTACGTAGGAGCTGTGCATTATGCTAGTGGTGTAACATTTATCCACAAATTAGGTGTGATGATGTTCGGTTATTGTCACCAGTGGGACCATTTTGGACTCAAGTCTATTGTCTCTCAATCCCAGTTGACTTTCTAAGATCTCTCTCTGGAAATGAAACAAGGTGCTTAGACCCTCAATGTCCCTTGAATTCAGTAGCTGGGATATAAAAGTTACAGAGTTTGGAGTGAGAAATAAATTAATTCTTTCAATGAGTATTGATTCAATTCTATCTCTAAGTTCAAGTAGTTACACTCAGAAGACCTTTTCTGTTTCTCATTCATATCTTGTAAGTGATTTTTCATTCTGGTTGGACCTGACCAAAATTTGCTGGCTTGATTCCATTAGGCAGACTAAGGAAAACAAGTTCTGTATCAAATACCTGTTATGTACAGGATGACATCATCATAGGCAGACTTTGAAGTTTATTTCCTCTTTATGTAAGAATGGAATCAACAAGGTCAACTCACAACTCCACTATTTCTCCATTCTGACTGAAAAGTATTATACAAGTAGCTGTTCCTTCTCAAAAATGTGAAGTGTATGTCCTCCAAAAGTGACTGGATAGACTGGAGAATACTGTGGGATGCAACAGAAAATGCAGTGATTTCCCAAAAGCTATGTGCTTGATTTTTCTTTCCTGTGATTTTGTTTAGTACTAAAAAAGTGTGCTTCATTTACCATGTCTTACCATCTTCTATTGCGCATGTTGCTAGTGTTCCATGAAAGCAGAAATGCATTCTTGCTTGTGTGCATGCTTAAAAATGTGAATTGCCCTGCTCTAGACATCCAACCTTCCAGAATTTTCAGTGTGTTAAATAGACGCAGACTGCAGGGTCTGACAAAGTCACCCTGCTTTGGTATAATAAGATGCAGAACCTCAATGTCAAATTGTATTGTTTTCACTGTTTTTTTTTTTTTTTTTATAGAAGAGTCTTTGGGAGAAGGAAAGATGATAATGTTAATGTTATGTTAAACATCTTGTCTGATTAGCTAAGGAGGAAATTCTATCAGAGCTCTCCCAGACAAATATAGCAACATGGAAAATATCTATGGTTTCACCTGATCTCAAAATAGGTCATTAATAGCAATGAATCTTCAGAGACTCTCTAGTTAATTTGATTAACTTCTAGCTTCATCTTTTTTTTTTTTTTTTTTTAGAAAAAAGATAATCTTTCAATTTAAGTACATTTCTTAGCATTATTTTGAAAAATCTATAAGAATATTCTGTCTTAATTAGAAATAACTGTGATTTTCAGTTCTTTCATCTGTTCTTACTTGGTTGGCATCATGTCTGAAAGAGCCTCAAGCTGCTAACATCATTAGATTACAAGTGGAAGGGAGAACTGCTTATAGGATATGCAAGAATATTGCCTAAGTGAAGGAATGAAGCTAGGGAAAACCATCTGCAACCATCATAATGGTTTGCAGAAATACAGTTTCATAGACATCCAAAACAAAACATATCATTTACCTTTTGTATAATAGTATTTTTAGAATCATGTGCTGAAAAGTAAATTTTTAGTAAGCCATTTAATGTTTAAACTCAGAAACAAAATTTCAGAATATGGTTTCTTCATAGCCTTTCCTCTAGTCCTTAAAAATATGTTTAATCAAGACACAGAGGGCCTGATGAGCCTACCTTTCTAAGTCCAGAGAGACACAGGAACTAAAATCAGAAAAGCTTGTTGTCATACTGACAATATGGCAGAGCTATGTGAAAAAGCTAAAAGGAAGTCACAGATTTGCTTTTATGCAGCTCCATTGGCTTCCACATTCCATAGATGGCATGAGGAATCTGCAGCTGTTTTCTAGCCTGTCAGTCTGTGAAGTATCCTTTTTTTCATAAGAATTTTTTAATGAGTTTTTTTGTCATTTTTTTTTTTAAAGTGGAAAATGTATCTATTTTTTTAGGGCAAAGATGAACTGAGTCCTAGCTACAGTGGCTGATATTGGTAGCATATTAGGCTGTTATTACATAGTTAAGCTATAAATGGATGTGTAGAAAAAGTTTTAGATGTTGTAGTTAAATATTACATCTTTGCCCCTTCTTTTGAGTAACAGCATGCATACAATTCTGTTTCTAGGCCAGAATGCTTTTCTGAGGTTCTAACAATTTATTTTATACCTGGGCGTTATTTTTTGTGCTCATAGGTACACTGCACATTAATTAGTTTTGTTTACCTATGCATATTTTTCCTAATTTCACAACAGTAGTTTTTGTAATTGACAAAGCAATTTACTGCATGTGTGCTTTCTGCACCCCCAGACAAATATGTTAACGTGTAATGTACCTTTCTTTCCAGTTCAGATTGTTAAGAAAAGAATTAGTTGTGACTAATTGCCAATTAATTTGCAGTGGTTTAAGGGGGAAAGGGGGGAAAAAACAATTGCACCTACTAATTAAAATTTAAAATATTCCAAAGTGTCATCTTTAGGTGTCTGTGGAATACATAATTTCCATTTTTGTTCTGCACTGGATCTGTAACAACCCTGAGCTTGACAGCTCTATTAATTTAAAACCTCAGTGATACCTATTAGTACAAAACATGAAAAAAATGCCATTAATCATTTATTTTAATTTTGCAGCTCTGTCATTTTCTCAGTATGTTTAAAAATTATGATGACACCATAATGTTTTCCAGTCTACCTGTGTGAAGGGGAAACGGATCACACTACTTAGGAGAGAGACTAGAGTATATTATTAGAGCTTAATTAATGCCAAACTGATTAGATTTGATTGCACTTTGCACAATAATATTGTTAAGAAATTTATTTAAAAGATGTGTTGCATAATGCTATATTTAAAATATAGCAGTCCAGATCTGAGAGATTTGACCAAATGCCTCATAATACAAGTCATAAGTCTTTTAGTTTTAATTTTTGTTTTTTTTTAACACTGCCCACATTCTGTACTACTTCTTCCCATCATGATAATCAATGCAGCACTTGGTCACTTTTAGGTAGATAGAAGTGTTTGGCTCTCCTGTTATACTGAGGTGCCACATCCATCCATCCATTTCCCATAAAGGATAGGAGTAATATGGGCATCTAATCTGTGGCAAACATTCCTACCATCAAACCTACCAACAGCCGAACCTTGTTGGTAACATAGAGAAAAATACACATGTCCTGAAATACAGATCCAACTTAAAGTATTTTTTATTTGTCAGTTTATACTTCTTTCCTTAACATACAGAAATAATTTCTCTAACTTTCAAACATTATAAAAAGAATTGATTAACTCTATTTTCAGTTTTCTATTTTCAGTTTTCTATTTTCATTTAACATTCCAGTTAGTACCTATAACACTGTATTTTGTATTAATCTAAAGCTTATAGGCATTGCCAAGTGAGGAACATATATGTAATCAGCATATATTGTACAAAAGTGGACTTAAAAGTGATTGATCTAAAAGATGTGGTTATTTCTCTCAAATTATTAATGCTTAATGCATTTTATTTAGTGAATGCATTGTATTAATATGGCTTCAAAGCACAGTTTGCAATTCTGTCCTGCTTCTAAAACAAATAAATAACCATTTTATGCTTTTATAAGCATATTTACTGTCACAAATTCAGACTTATCCTTTATTAGAAAAAATCCTCTCTTTGAATAGGGAGTAATTATCATCTCTGCTTTTAAGAATTATGCTCTTCTTTAATAGGATCTAGTTTTCCTTCCCAGAAATATTTCATCAAACACACTTTCTGATACTGCAAAGGTGATTTTAAAATTGCAAATGCAGTATTTTTCTGCTAAATCTGTTTATTAGATATAACAATCCTCTAGATTTCTATGATCATGAACTCGTAGAATAAAATCTTGGCATCGGTTAGTGAATGGAGTTTTGCCATTGACTTCAACAGCTTGAGTTTAACCTATAATGTTGTACTTCAGGCTTTCAACAGAAATCTATGACATCTTAGCAATTAATTTGGCTATTTACTTTCCTTCTAAATGTAATTTTATTACTTCTATATCTTTCATGTTCTTAAATATAAATTTGTGCCATATAAAATTTAGATGGTTTTTTTTTCTTCAAATACACTTCAGACTCTCCCCTTAATTTATGTTTAAGAACACTTTGCTTATTTTCTGTGAGTTATACCATATTTTCAATAAAGCTGAGTAAATATTCCCCAAAATTTACAGAACTTCATGCTATTTTGTATGCCTCTGTCAGGGTATAGTCAGTTGCTAAATATATGTTCGCTTTGTGTTGAGTTTTGTGGATTTTTTCTGAGCAATTTTTTCTTTACATAACTTTTGTTTTGAATCAGTTTTATATAAAAATTCACCTTGGGATAAGGTAAATTGAATAATAATAATGCTGTATTTAAATAATGTTTCATTTAAAGCTTTCAAAATTATATTTCTAGTGCAGAAGACATGAGATTGCTTAACAAGGCAAAGAAGGTGAATGTTAAAAATTAGTCTTCATTTCAACAAATGTAGTATCTACACAGAACTATAAGTAATATCAAGAAGATATCATATTTTCTTTTTAATTTAACTAGATTTTGCTTACAACTAAAGATTTTTTTTGTCCATGTCAATCCTCTGTTCAGCAATCTTAAGTCTTCAGTGCTGCTTCCCTTCTTTTCATCCAGAAGAGTGTTTTTTCTTTTGGAAACTCTTAGTCTGAAAGTGTCCTGTCTGAAAGTGTGTGCTTTCACTTTTCACTTATCCCACAAATTCACATCACCAACTCTGGCATTGCCACTAGTATGGAAAGAGATACGGAAGCAAGAGTCCAGGTCAGAAACACAGTGCCTGAGAATCTTGAGAAAGACAAAATTGGCATTTTTCAGAGAAAATAGTCCAGTAAATATGGAGTGTATTACAAACATCCTGATCTCTTTTTATCACCTAAGTATCAGATTTTTAATCTATATTCTTCCAGCAGAAAATCAAAGAAATCAATAGTTATCATTGCTAATCAACACAACACTAACTTATGCTACCAAGGATACATAAAATATGTACTTTGGGTTTACATTTTATTTTTGTATTTTCAGAACATAATGTATACTTGAAACTAGTGGAACCATGCCAGTTTGCAACAGTCTAAAATATTCCTCAGAGAAGTGTATATAGGACTCCTTTCTCATGTTCATGAGTGCTTAATCATGTTCAAGCATCTTAGCTGATCTCAGCTGATAGGATATAACATACTGAAGAGGTCATGATCCCTGAAACAGATGGCTCAAGCCAAAAAAGAACATTATAAATGATAAATATTTTCTCAATATGTAATTGCATTCATCCTCAGCAGCACTGAACAGCCCCAATCCAACACGCAATCTGTATGAGGTTTTAGGATTACTTCACCTCTTCATGCTAAAGCCATCTTTGTGCCTTGCTCTTTTATTCATTTGAAGAATTACAATGAAATTACCTTTGAGAGGAAATTTTGAGGACATTCCTATTGCCTCATCATGGCCAAATCTTGCAATATGCTGAGCCCTCATGCCTCTCAAAGAATTTACTCACAGCAGCTGCACATTACTTTATGTATTGATCCTCAGGCTCTGGTTGATGTCACCACTATTTTTGAGACTCAGAGTATGTCTTATGAAGGAAGTTACAGAAATCTTTGAGGATTTCCAGGACCAGATCATCAGCTGGTATAAACTGACATCAATGGAGTAATGCCAATTTATCCCAATTACAGATTTGGCTTCAAAAGTCATGCCTGAAGCAGAATTTCTTGTGAGAAAATATGTTTATGCCAATCTTTGGAAGCAGGACTTATTTTCTGTGTGAATGTAATTTAGGTTGCCAAAAAATGATATACTAAATTTGATACTAATGAACAATGTTGACAAAAAGAGGTCACATATGAAATATGAGACTAATGAACTAAGGTGCCATGGAAGTTAACATTTGGAGAATAAAGACTATCGTATATTTAAAGAAACCTACTTGTTCTGTTGAGATTTTTATGTTTCCGTCTCTTTAGACTGTAAAGTAAATTTCCACCCCAAGAAATGTCCTGATCTATATTTTAATGAACCTCTCCACGTGACATACATTTTTTGTTTCATTACTATTAGTGAATGACAAGTGAAGGATATTCATTTTAACTTGAAAATGTCAGGTATGCACTTTAAGAGATATATTTTTCCAGTTTTTAATGAGGTGGTGTTCCTTCTTGAAGGAAATACCCATCTCTGATGTGGGTACTATGCAGGTGACAACTGATATTTAATAAGTGATGGTTCTTGTATTAGTCGTAGTTCACTAAAGAAAATGTCTCGGATTGCTTTTGAAAAACTCTTAGCGTCACTAGCCCAAAGGCAAGATGTGACCTTTTTATTACATAATGAGAATCATTTATTATCTTACAATGTATCTTAAAGTCACAGACAAAATGCCACTTTGATAATTGCTTTCAATTAGCTTTGAGCATAGCATACATTCATAAAATGTCTTCTCTAATTTAGACTTGAATTAGAGAAAATTGCAGACATAATCTACTTTAAGGTTGTCTCATTTAAGGTGATTCGTAGTTTTATATCAAAGAAATCAAAGCGGGTGGCTTTAGAGCAGTCTTGTAAAGTATTTTAAGTAGGCTTTTCAATATTTGAGTCTATTCTATTGCCAATTAATTAACAAATTAGAATGATAGTTCATCATTCTTGACCTTTTTTTGTGTTAATTTTTGACTTTCATTCATAATGGTTATTTTGAAATTAAGCAGTGTCTTGTGTTAAAAGAGAAGTACAGCATGATTAGATTTCTAATTAAACCATGCGAAAATACAGTTTATGCCTTAATAATAGGCAACAACTTGGTCTGTCAGCATGTTTGTCCTTTCCAGCTTTTAAATTATTATTCATCTTATAGATATGTAAAATATTCAACTGCTAGCAATAAATCTCACACCTCAAAAGTAAGATCACATATTGTCATTTATTTCATTATGTACAATTAATATTATTGACTTTGAATATAATTCAAAGTATTTGTATCATGCAGCTGGTGTATTGCATATGTAAGATCATTCCTAAGAAATACAGACCATTTCATCTTCAATTAAATGAAGATGGTTCAGGACTCACATTTAAAAATGGTTTAAAGATGGTTCAGGTATTTTGTATTTTTGATATTTGGATTATTTGTAGCAATTGAATTAGCTCTAGGGATAACTCTATTTTCCTTCTTTCTTCCCCCAGATAAAAATAACCCACAAGAACCAAGCACCCATGCTGATGGGACCACCTCCAAAAACTGGTCTTTTCTCTTCTATCATCAAAAGAACAAGGAACCACACCAAGGAATAAGCCTACGTAGTTTAGTTTTTAGAAAAACAATTAGCTGTGTTGGGCTTTGGCATATTTATGCTGGAAATCTTTCAAGAATTTTAGGATATATTCCACTTGCAAAATCATGGATTTTTGTTTATTAGTTTCTGTGACTGAGCTGATGTAAAACTATGCTATTAGAAAAAAATAGTGTCACAGTTTTGTAGGCATTTTGCATGAAGAAAGCAGATGTTTACATAAAGTGATACAGCATATTTTTTGTTGCATGCGTTACCATTTACTAATTTATGGGATAATTTTGCCATGGAATATGGAAAGAGAATGCCATGGATAATTTGATTTTCTCTCTATAATTCCATTTAATTTTTTTTTTCTGCTGCAAAGATCATATGCCATGTTTTCAATAGTATTTCTTGGACAAGCATCTTCAGGTCAGTAACTGATTGGACCTATTTAGAGTAAAGTTTATTACAGATCTCATTAATCTGTACTTTTAGTTTAACAATTTTTTTCTACACTGGGATTATTTTTCTTCAGCTAAGTATTAAAATCATATATCTTATTCTGCTATGTCATATGTATATGAGTAACTGTACCTACAGAAAACACCTAACTGAACTCCCTTGTGTGCAGTATTCACATGACCATGATTACTCCTGTGAAGGCTTTTTCAAGAGTGGAATCCAAAAACAAGTTTGAGCAAAAGCTACATTGCTAAGGAGATCATGTGAAGCATGAAGATAGTGATACTTGCAAAATTCATCATTGGTACTTTTTGCTGAAACACTAAAATAATTGTAACGAGCAATAAATCTCTGTGACATGAAAAACTTTAAATCATTCTGCATATTGACCAATATTACAGTGTATATGCACACAAATAACCAAAGCTCATGCCTAATAAAGTGCATTTCCCACCAAAGATTTAGTGAAGGATACTTCAGAGAAATGGGTTAATGCATAATTAATCAAGCTCACTGAAGTAGACTCACTTCTGAAAATTTACAGTTCTTTTGATTACCTTGGCAATGTCCAGACAAATGCTAGCATAGGAAAAACATTAAATTAATTGCATATAATGCTTACTTTTTATTTGTTTCATAAGTTGGTAGGCATAGACACATACTGAAAAGTTAAAGTGATATCTAATTTTGTTGTCATTATTATTTATAAATTTATACTATCCATAATTTACTCATCCTCTAAATTAGTCTCTCAAGAGAAAGATAAACTGCTGCCTAGTCCACTTCTATAGTCTGCTGCCTGGGATCAAAGCATTTCTTCTCATAGAGATTTGGGGGGCAGTTGTTCAGGTTTTGCTTTCCTAGACCTCTGAGAGATTTCCTAACAACACAGAAATCATACTACAGATATTTGTCTGAGGTTTGCACAGCACTGTTTAATGTTGAAAGGGAATCCAAGAATGGCAACTTTTTTTCAATTTTGCATATAAACATACAACCTCAATAAAAACTTTTTGTGCGGTCTTGACATTAACCTTGGTTTAGAAAGACCTACTCATCATCTCTGCATGTCTTAAGTTCTCAGAGATTTCATCAAAACAACAGAAAAAGATACAACTTTGCTTGAAATGCATGATTTATCAGTTTTCTCATGCTTTTATCTAGACTTTAAAGTGTTAATGATTTATTAAATCTATTTTTCTATTGACTCATTCATCCATTAAAAAATAGTATTTCATCATTCTATAGTGCACGGTACTGTGCATGTATTTAAATACAGTTGTTGTCATTTGTTCCTCAATATTCAGTATTCAAAAAAATCTTAATTTATATAATAGACACAGAAATAAAAGTCAGTATATAGTTGGTAAGGATTATGTCTTTGAAATATACAGTCAGTGTTCTGTAAACATTAGAAGGTAAAAAACAATTAATGTTGCATTCAGCATTAGGTAGAAAAATACAATGACAATTATTTGCTATAATTAAGATCTTGTAATTCCCCTTGTAATATTCCTTGTAATATTCCTTGTAATATTGGGTCCAGTGGTGTTTACAATTACAGTTACTATAGGAGAGAAAATTTACTTTTCTTGGATAATGCACACACACATATACTCAGAAAAAAAGCATTTGATGGAGTTCTTAACTGTAAACACATATAAGTATAGAGCGAAAGAGATTTGCATAAAGGAGATTGCTGACATAATGTTACATAAAGTGTACATTGATTTTATGAAATTATGGTTAAAGGCGATAAATATTTTCACATAACTTGACATAGGATTTTCTACCAATGCGCTCAAATTTTGTGGCAAAAATGTGTTTAATGATAATATATCATGTGCTCTCTATAATTATCTCATGAACATTGTATCTCTGAAAATAAATAAAAAGAAATATCAGCTATTCTTTAATAATGTATGAAATTTTAACAGTACCAGCCTGTGAACAGCAATTGTTGACAACATTTTTTCATGTAAGGAGGAATAGATGGTTTGTGTAATCACAGTTATATACTGTTCCAGCTATACATATTTAAAGTGAATCAGTTCAGTTAAGGAAGTCAGTATATATCAAAGTTTCACTGAAGGAAAGGTGCCTTTTTTCTTTTAACTATTTTACTATATATTGACACTTACTGTAACAGTTAAATTGCCATTCTAGTAATCTTGATTTTTTTTAACATAGCCTCTAGTGATAAATTGAAAGCATTGATGATGAAGATAAATAAAATATAATACGTATTATATAATATGAAAGGAAAGTACTACATTTAGTGAAAGAACATGTCACTTGGCTTCTTTTTTCCATCAGTGTGCATAAAATTACCATGATGAAATTATACATTGGTATAATGAAGTGGTATATGGTTGTTGTGGCCAGAAATGAAATGACAGGCCACAAGTGGAAACTGAATCTCTATTAAGAGTGCCCCATAGGGCTATAGGCTAAAATCAGTGGTATGTGGGTGCATTATGTGGGGTTATAGGAGCACTGTATGGAAACTCCTGCCTAGTAGTACAAGATCTGTCAAAGTTTGATGGTATTGGCCAAACAGGGGCTTTTTCCAGGGTGGGCTTCTTGGGTCCTGTAGGCCATTCTTCCTAGAACTCTGAATTTTTAGCTGAAATAAGCAGGTTTGGTGTTTCTTGTGAAATTGCCTCAAAGCCAGTAAGCCTGTAGAAGGTAACATCTGGGGCAGGAAGATCCAAATGGGTTTCAAGCTGGTGTAGGATAGCACATTACTTGTGTGTAGCACCAGGCCTGTAGGTCTGTGCTGACTTCACGAAGATCTGTTAAGTGAAAAAAGTGTATAAATGTCTCTATGTGAATATTTGTCTTTTTTAGCAAAATCTTAGGAGTAACTGTAGAAGTGTCTAAGTTAGATGGAGCTTTGGGAGTAGGGGATTTATATTTATGTGGTACTGAGCGAGTGAGTAATGCTGCCAGACACTATTACCTTTGCATACATAGACATAGAGTCAGCTTCAAGTTAGAGTGGTGTCAGATGTCTTTCAGGCAAAGACTTTGGAAAATTTCAGTCCAATTATTTCCTTTTTCTATACCATAGCAATTAAATTGGATCTCAGAATTAAGTTGTTATTAATGGAATGTGTGTTTGTATATGTATAGCATGGAGGCCAATGGAGCTTTTCCATTCTCAGATTCCTTTTATTTAACAATAACAACTGAAGAAACTTCTGCATGACCACTGACTTCCATTTTGTCAAATTGCCCTACAGCTTGACACTATAAATAGGAGACGATATGTTCCAGGCATCTAGAATCTCTCAGCATGGTGGTATTTCAGAAGCTGATCTTTTTTTTCCCCTTCTAATTCATGATTCAAAGAGACTACCTGAGAAGCACATTGGGGAGCTCTTTAAATATGAGTCATACAAAGAGTAAGTGCTAATCACCAGGCTTTGTTATTTATAGAAAGGTGGTAGCTGTGTTGATGGTAAAGCAGCATAGCTTCAGAGTGAATTGCAGATTTGTAATAAAAATGGATAACTATTTGCATGGTCTAAATGAATAACTAAGCAAAGACTTTGATTTTTCAAGTCTAGATTTTAGTCCAAGGTGAATAGTTACTGAAAATACTTAGCTGTTTCTTGGCATATCTGAAAAATATATATATATATACATTTTTTTTTTTTTTTTACCTAGGGTCAAATTCACATTCCATGAAGCAACACAGCAATTTATACTAATCAATAACTTTCTGGACAGGGAAGTGCACACTTGTTACTTTCTGAGTGAAACACATACTTACAGACCATGTGCTGCCTGTCAGAAAGAAAATACAAGATGTCAGTCTCTAGGCCTGTCAGTCTATTTACATTAAATGCAAAGAACTTCAAGAAAAAATATTTGTTACTTTAGATAGCAGAAAGAACCTGGTGATTTGCATATCATTTGGTGAGGCAATGAGGCCCTGCAAAACGAGCATCAGCACTGTGCTGCTTCTTTCTGCCTAGCTGTRAGGTTAACTGCTGTAAAATAGTAGTGAATATGAGTGAATCTTTCAAACCTCTCACTTTACACTAGGATGACGGATACAAATATCAGCTTGATTAAGAGAGAAATATTCATTGTGAAGCACGAGTGCAGGGGCAGGAGGACATATTCCATTTGACTTAAAGTTTACTTTGGATTTTTTCCCGAGCAGTATGAGCTTGTTACAATTTCAGTCACTTCACTACTCCAGTCATTGTTTCCTAGGATCATGTTATGAGCAGTGGGTTTTTCTGTTTGCTAGCTTTTGTTTTTTGAAAACCAATAAAATGCAGCTGTTTGGTTATAGTTCAGTAATTAATATATTAATATAATTAGTTTATAAGTAAGAAGAAGTTTAAGAAATCTAGTCCAAGTGTCAGTTCTCAAAGTCAAGCCTTGCACCAAGATACAATATTTGGCTTTCATATCTAACATCTCACATATCTCACCCTAGAGCTGCTGAAAAATTCTGTGAAAAATGCTTTAGACTAATCTAGGGGAAGAAACCTTCCTAAACTGATTTAACTTTCATTACATTAACATATAACAAAATCAGATTTACGTTTTAAATGTCAAAATGCCTTATGATTGGATGTAAAACGGGAATGTAAGGTCTTATTTTGATTACTGTTTGTTTAGTGCAATAATTTGCTAATATTAAACTGAAAAGTGATTGTCATCATGCTTTTATTTCAATCAGAACACAATTTCTTTGTTTGCTGTTTGAGAATTTTGAAAGGTTTAGTATTTGTTCCAGATGCTGAAATGAAACTTCCAGCGTTAGCACAACTGTAATTGTCACCAAGATAAGAGACTGCAAGTAAAATTCTAATTTTCATGCAATATCTGTACATTTGTATGATTGCCATAGCTGCACACCTCTTGAGATTTATCTTAAATAGACTGGTTTTTGGATTATTACTTTTTTATTAGATTAATTGCTCAAAAAACTTTATTGTTAACAAAACATATATAAAGATTCTGAGTGTTAATTTTGTTTATTGTTTTTTTGTCCATCGGTGCAAGACTGTGGACAATAATGATTCAGTCACATGGATAAGGCATTTGTGTTTTCACAAAACTACACTGTTATTCCTGTATTCCTAAATGTGTCTCTCAATCTTTTGGCTGATTTATCAGGTAATATCGTGTAGTAGCTATCTGAGAACACTTTTCACCGAACAGTTACCTAAATATGTGTGATGCCTAAACTTTTGCTGTTCCTCTTCTAGTAGCTGTACCTTTATTACTCCATAATGTTAGCATGTCTAACCCAACTGATACCATGCTTAAAACCTTGCTGCGATGATGAGCAGCCTTATTTTTACAGTCGTGGGACAAGWGGTGAATGGACTTGCATGAGGTTAATGGAGCTTTAAGAAAAAAAAGTTATGTTCCTTCAGTGCAAGATAAGGTTCCTTTCTTCTGCAGGAACTCTGTCACTTTATCAGATATAACAGCTTTCTCTGCCAAAGAGTTGAGATAGCCTATGTGAATGATTTATAGTTTTCCTTAGACTGCTGAATCTTGGACCAAAAAAAAAAAAAAAAAAAAAAAAAAATCTTATGGATCTTATGGCAGGTGCCAGTTGTTCTCTGTTGGTCTGATTGTAGAAATATACACTACTATGAGAGCTGGTCAAACCATTCAGATGCAATCAGAACAGCTGTTTTAACAGCTAACAACTAAGAGCAGAGTAGGGTACCTGGGATCAGGTACTCAGAAGCAAAGCTAATGCAAAGTGTTATGAACCTAGAAACGTGTTAGACTACTTTTACTAATTTCTGGAGTGATGTCTATATAAAACCATAAGAGTACTAGAAGATAATTACTTTTGTATTTTACCATAGATATTCTCTTCATGAGAGAATATTCTCTGTGTGTTCTCTATCTCAAGTATAATATAAAAAGTAGCTTTTTAAAGCTATTTCTACTATATGCTTGCAGTCCAAAATAGAGTACAATGGCATAAAGGAAGACTTTTTGAAGAAGCTGAGTAAAATAACATTTTAAGAAACCTGAAATACCCTCCAGTCCAAGACCACAGTACAGCAAAGAGATCTGAAGGAAGAATCGAGTGATGGCATTTCCATCTCTGCTCAGAAAAAGTTTTCAAGATAGGAGAATTTTAGCCAAATTACAATCTGTCTTTATTCTTTCATTTCAAATTGTTTGTACATGAGCTTGGACAGTCACTTTGAAATGAAAAAGACACAACTGTTTAAACGGGTATTTAGAATTCTTTTTTCACCAGATTCTGGTCCTCCTTGCTGGCAGAACTCTGTGTAGCTTTTTCTTAAGTGTGGTAGAACCAGCCTGCTTACAAAGAATATATACAAAAAGGTAGTCATTATTTGTTTAATTACTTAGCTCCTCTAAAAGTTAAAGTTAAGTGTTAAAAAAAATGTATTTTAACCAGTGTAATCAGAAAAGCTCAGAGATGGCTACTATGAATACTTTCTTGATATGATCAGTGCTGGCAAAGGACTTGCACAGGGGACAATCCACATTAGACTATATATAGATAAAGTGCATATTACTCTACTCCTGATGCACCAATGTGAATCTACTTGAGGGCATTTAAAATCCTAATTAATACAAAATATGTTTGTGCATAAGACATAACTGTGCTTTATACTAAACCTACACTAAGCCTATACTATGCCTATACTAAGACATAACTTTGAAGGTCAGAGTGAAAATATTTTAACCTAAGTGCAAATTGTAATTTGGCTAAAATTATTTTAACCTAAGTGCAAGAAAGAGAAATCTTAAGCATTCCCATGTCCCTACTGAAAACTTACTGAAGCCATGAACCAACATTTCCCCACTTCTTCCACCTGAGTGCTTTTGTCTTTCTACTCTTGTGCCATTAGTAACCCTGTGTTCTGTCTACACAAAACCTTAGCTTCAC